GGGGGAGGGGGGGGGGGTTGCTTCGCGGCAGGATTAAGACGTCGGACTGTTTGGATAGCGTATAAGTTACGGGCCGCGGGCGGGCCGGGCCGGGCCACCCCCCTACTTGATTAATCCCCGTCCTGATTGAGCACTTCATTCACACGGGGCGCGGTGGCACCGCTACTTTGTAGGCGCGAGCAGCCCCGCCGCCACGGGCCGCCCCGCCCCGCCTCGGCGACCAACATCGCAGTGGATCACGTGCTCATTATGGCATATGACATATGGAGACAGTCCTCTTTTGCTCGTACCCCAATACATAGTGCTGATCGGACCTTTTGCACCATCCAACAACTTTAAGCACTGCGAAATTGAGTTTTGCACGTCGTTGTCCTCGGATATTATGTAATTTTCTTGGTCGTTTTTTTTGATGCTGAATGGCGACTCCTTGGTGTGTCCGCAGCATGCCTGCTCTCGGCCGGCTCCTGTAAGCCCGCCGCCTCTACGCCCGTCGCCGCCGCGGCCCCGCCGCCCGCCACGCTGCGCTCCAGCCCGGACTCCCCCGGCGACGAGGCGGCGCGCCCGGCAGGCGCCGCCACCAGGGGCTCCCACCGCAGCAGGACGTCACCGTCGACGGCGCCCGACAGCGTCGTCAGCGGGCCGCCGGCGGTCTCGACGGTCGCCGACCACCTCGCCAACGCCGACATCATGTCGACGGCGTCCTCGGCCGACCTGGACGACTCCGGGGAGCACAGCGACGACAGCGCGGGCGGCGGCCGGACGGTGCGGCCCCCTCCGCAGGTCCTGCCGCTGCACCCGGACCTGCAGGGCACGGGGGCCGTGCTGGAGATGAAGCCCCTCTGGGACGAGTTCAACGAGCTCGGCACCGAGATGATCGTCACCAAGGCGGGCAGGTACGAGCGCCTCCCTCTCCCGCCGTCTCTCCTGCGCCCCTTGACCATCCCCGTTCAACTCCAAACCTCCTTCTGCCGCAGGCGAATGTTCCCGACGTTCCAGGCGCGGCTGTTCGGCCTCGCGCCCGAGGCCATGTACATGCTCATGATGGACTTCGTGCCCGTGGACGACAAGCGCTACCGATACGCATTCCACAGCTCGTCGTGGGTGGTGGCCGGCAAGGCCGACCCGGTGTCCCCGCCCCGGGTGCACATCCACCCGGACTCGCCCGCCACCGGCGCCCAGTGGATGAAGCAGGTCATCTCCTTCGACAAGCTCAAGCTCACCAACAACCAGCTGGACGATAACGGCCACGTGAGTACAACCGCAGGACTAGCAGAGTCGTGATTAGGGATTTTAATTTTCCGAATTTTGTTGTTGTTGAAATTTTTCAAGGATCTTTTTTTTTCATCTCTCAATTTTTCTGGATAGTTTTACTTGTTTGTGAATTTTCTTCTGGAAATGTTTGAATATGTACCGATTTTTTTTCTGGAAAACTGTCCATTTTATCCCGAAAAAAATCGGACTTTAAAATCCCCATGAGTCGTAATATCTCTCGACAACGTTCGCCATATCCTCCCGCTATTTCCAGATCATCCTCAACTCGATGCACCGGTACCAGCCCCGCTTCCACGTCCTGCACGTGCCCATGTCGGAGGCCGGGACGCGGCCGGGGCAGATGCCCCACCTGGGCGCGGGGCCGTACCAGCACCTGGCCGACGACCACAACCCCAGGACACAGAACTTCAAAGTCTTCATATTCCCGGAGACGCGCTTCACTGCCGTCACGGCCTACCAGAATCACAGGGTGAGCGAACACCCTATTATCATATCACTTGTATCTCGTGTCTCATTCACCCGGCCGCATTCGTAGGGTTGTTCTGACCAGCGCCTTGCATCGGTGCGAATAGGCAACTTGCTCGCACGCGTGTAATGCGGTCAGTCTACCTACTGAGGATGGTGTGGCGAATCAGCCCCTTCTGGTATTTCCACGTCGGCTGACGACGGCTGCTCTAATACTGACTCTTCGTTGCAGATAACCCAACTGAAGATCGCGAGCAACCCGTTCGCCAAGGGCTTCCGGGACTGCGACACCGAGGACTGGTGAGCGACTGTGGTTACATAAAGGGGGTCGGCCACCCGGGGGGAGGATCGTGTCGCACAGGGGGAAGGGGGGGGGGGCAAAGGGGCGCAGGGTCTAAACTGCTGGGAGGTTCTCGCTGAACGGCTGGTTGCCTCGCTGACTGGCGGTAACGCGAGGAAGCCGTCTCGGAGGGAGGGAAGGGGGAAAGGGGGGCGCCGTGGCACGAGCCAGGACATCTCCATGCCGTGTACAACTTTGTACGTTACCCCCGTACCGACAAAGTAACCTCCACCTCCATTACATCTCCCCTCTTACGCGTTTTTTGCCTTCCCTCTCTTTTTGTGGCTCTGCGCGTTTACGGATCAAAAACCTTGGTCCGAGAGAGGCTTCGTGGTTCGTCAAGTCAAGTTTACGGTCAACCTAAAAAAAGTAGCCTACACCCTGTGCCCTTCAACTTCAAGTTAGGTGACCACGACTACTTCGCCCTTGTTCAAAATAATTGGTCTCGGTCCTGTCCTTGTCCACCTCTTCTCGAAATATATTTATATCTTTTTCTCCTGCTGCTGCTGGGAGAGCTTCTCCTTGTTGGAAGTATAAAATAGTCTTAGACCCCCCCGTCACCGCCGTCTGCCCTGCGAATGTGTGCGAGTGTGTGTGTGTGTGTGTGAGAGAGAGAGGGAGAGTACTTATTGGTGGTCGTCGCGCGTACATTATTTGACGGCAGGGAAATAATTTATTCGGGCGAGCGGGGCCGGGGCGGGGCAAGAGACACACTACACGACCAGCGGCAGGGCGGCCGCGCCGTGCCGAGCGCCCTGGGGCCCGGTAATGGCACACATGTGGCGTGGCGTGGCGTGGCATGGCGTGGCTTGGTGACACAGGTCGGGAGACCGTCCTGGGATACGTATGGTCTGCCACACCGTCTGCCCTCTTCACTTCAACTTTAGGGGACAACGAATGTGCCATATACCAACCAGGTGGCTGATTCACACGCCGCGCACTTACGTAGTTATACTGTACCGCATGCACGAGTGCGCGCGGGTTTTCCAATCCCCGCTGCCCACGGCCGCGGCTCCTTCTGACCCCGTGCGAGTAGGCAACCCACTCGCACCCGTGCATGCGGCACAGTATAACTACGAAAGTGCACGGCGTGAGTCAGCGACCTTTATCAGGCGCGCTATCATACAGGATTCTTATAAACGCGTTAATGAGCGCATCTTAACATGCTTTTCTCTTCGTATGGCTACTTCACGTGGTGACATAAAGTGTCAATAGAGTCTCTAGAATGTAACTGGGGGTGAGTATCGCCTCTTTACTAAACGCCGCCTCCCCTCTGCTCCCCGTACAGCGGCGCCGAGGTCATGTCGCAGCTCCAGATGGGTGGCCCGCGTGGACCAGCTCCGCCCACCCCGACGTCGACGCCGTCCTCGGCGCGCCCACCCGGGCGTCCCCTCTCCGCCAGCAGCAACAACAACAACAGCAGCACCAGCAACAACAACAACCCCGCAGCGACCAACAACAACAACTGCCTGCAGTACGAGAGCAAAGAGAGCAAAGGTGCGGTATCCCCTCTACCCCCACCCCCTCTTTAGGTTTCGATATTTTAGGGATGTACACCTCACGGCGCAGTATCGAAGAAACGCGCCGTGTGTGTGTGTGCGCGCGGGCGCGAGCGAGCGAGCGAGCGTGTGGTGTTATTGTTGATTTTCCTTGAGGGGGAAAAACACTGCCGTTATAATGACTGCCTTTGGTGAGAGAATAATGTGGGTAACGCTCCAAGTCCGCGGCATCTGGCGGGGCCGAGCGAAGCGCGGCGGCGGCGGCCCAAGCGGCCTTGTGGGCTCGCGCCTGGCCTGCCTGGTCTCCGCCACTCCATTCCCTTTGGACTCTGTTTGGACCGTTTGGGCCATCAGCCCTGCTGGCGAGCCGGCGGCGGCGGTGGCCAGGCCGGTCACTTTGATGCAAGAGTGTGCGGCTCTTTTGCCTGCCCCGAGGCGCGATCAAAGCGATCCCTCCCCACTCCCTCCTCCCCGCGCGGCCACCACAATCCCACAGCCGCCGCCTTGGCTTCCCTTTGCCGCCTCGGTGCGCGCGGGACTTCCCTGCTGCCGCTCCGCTCCGCCGCCCCCACCACCACCGCCCCGCCACTTTGAGGGCGCGCGCGAAACGTTTAGTGGTTTGTTTGTGTTTCTAATTGGCCGTGACGAGCTGCGCAGGCGGCTGGCCTGGGTTCCCCGAGGGCTCGCCCCGAGGCTCGCCCCGAGGCTCGCTCTGGGGCGTGGCCAGCGGCAGCAGCAGGGCGCCCCTCGCGGGGCCTCCTCCTCGCCCCGCCCCGCGGCTGCCTCAAGGGGGGAAAAGCGCGCAGAAAAGCCATTTTGGCTGCCAGAGCTTTCAGCGACGGGCGAGAATCGGGATTTTCTAGCGCGCGGTGCCTATCGTATCCGCGGGGCATCCGGTGCGGGTGGCGCGGTGGTGGTGCTCGGCCTGTTCACACCTCCGCAGACTCAGGGCGCCGCGAGGGGGAAACGAATCTGCGAGCTCGTGTACAACCGGCTAACCGCGGGTTACTCACCCCTGGAGTACCCTTCGAGTACCGCTGGAGTACGGCTGGAGTACCCCTGGAGTACCCTTCGAGTACCCCTGGAGTACGCCCGGATAAACCTCGAATTGACGCAGACCTTGTCCAGAGAATTGCCGAATTCACTATTGGTGGCCTATTGTCGGCGCCGTTCTTTTTACTGGATATACTGTACCGGATGCAGGCAAACAGGCGGGCTTACCTATCGTCGCTCACCATGCTTCTTACGGCCCCGTGCGAATATGCATACGAGTTGCAACTGTATAAACCCGGGTATAATCGGAAGAAAGAACGACGCGATGGGCCACCCTGTATTCCTGTATGAAGCATACTTCGCGACACATTTCAAATAACTATTTCTGTGATCAATCCGAACTGACTTTGGGTCCTGCCGCTGGCGCTGACTCCTGGCGCTGCCCTGACGGGACCCGACACTGACAACCCCTGCGGGCTCGCCGCTCCACCCCCCTATCGATCGCCCGTCGCGCACACGTCCACCTGTTGGTATCCGCGCCAGGGCCGCCAGGGCGCCCCGCTCGGCTCGGCACTGCCTCAGGCGCCTCAGGCCCCGCGTGGCGCCCGCAGCACCTGTTGCGTCGCGAGAGAGTCGCGAGGACGTCACCTGGACTTGAACACTGGATCAGAATTCCCTGTCTATTTCTATTGTGGCCCCACAATGAAAGTCCCTCAGGGTGCTGCGAATGCACGTTCGACTTCAGAACGTTCTCTTGCCCGGCCACATGGGCGGGCGCTCTGGATGGGCAGCAGCTTGGCGGGTTGGCCTACACAGCGCCCAGTAGGCGCTATCATCGGTGCCTCGTGAAACGCTCATTGTGAGGACAGCTTTATCCTGATCAGAACGTTTGCTGATCAGAATTTAACAGTTTCTGCCTATGGGGTATCAGAAAGGATACCTTGCCACACACACACATTGGTGACTTCCTCCCACGCGCTCCAACAGCATTCCCCTTGGCTCTCGCTGATGGCGTGCCACGCTTCAGTCGAGAATATATAGGCTAGCGGCCTTCTCCCATACTATCCGGGTCCGCCGTCACTGCCTGCTTACCTCCTTTCGAACGTAGTGTTCAGTGTGCAACAAACAAGAAATTTACAACGTTCTCCATACAGGCAGTGACTCAATTGACCCTTTTACCCAATTTCCCGAAAAAAAAATTAGCCCCCTAGATCCTTTCCCCCGCCTAGGCCCACACATGCTTGAAATGTTATGTAACTCATCGTTTCCTCGAGGATTAAATACTCAAATTAATTATAAAATATTATTAAATACCAAATTTTGGTCCTGTATTTACTCTCAAAATCGGTATGTAATCCCTTTCCTTTCTCCTACCCACCACCCCTATGTCCCAAAACTCCCCCCAGGCCAAATCTCTTTCTTTCTTGAAGTCAATCATGCATTGGGTTTCCCGATGGCGTCCGAGTCAGGCCGGCCATGGGTGCCTCCTCTCCCCCTTTCTACCTCTCTCTCTCCTCCTCTTTCCCCTGTCGTCTCGGAGGCGTCCCGGCGGCCGGCCTGGCGTGTGGCGTGTGTTATGTATCGAGGGTCGAGGATTGGGCCCCTCTACCCCCACCCCCTCTTTAGGTTTCGATATTTTAGGGATGTACACCTCACGGCGCAGTATCGAAGAAACGCGCCGTGTGTGTGTGTGTGTGCGCGCGGGCGCGAGCGAGCGAGCGTGTGGTGTTATTGTTGATTTTCCTTGAGGGGGAAAAACACTGCCGTTATAATGACTGCCTTTGGTGAGAGAATAATGTGG